TCCTTTCTCACCCCAAGAGCTCTTTCCTTGCCCCAAGAGATCCTTCCTCACCCCAGGACCTCCTTTCTCACCCCAAGAGCTCCTTCCTCACTCCAAAAGATCCTTCTTTGCTCTGAGAGCTCCTTTCTCACCCCAAAAGATCCTTCCTCACCCTAAAAGCCCCTTCCTTTCCCTAGGAGCTTCTTCCTCACCCCAAGAGCCCTTTCCTCATCCCAAAAGCTCTTTCCTCACCCCAAGAGCTGCACATTCATAGAAAAAGTGGAGCTCAACACCCTCAGCTAAATGAAAGGTACTTCCAAGGCTGGCTTTAGGATCTGATAAATCTGTTGAAGATCTCAGTTCTGGGTCGGGCTCTTGCTGCTCCCAGGCACTGCAGGAGCTGCCATCCTGTTCAAACACATCAGTTTTCACTGAGTGGGCGAGAAAAGCTCCATGTGGCCCCCCAGTCAGAAGGAATTCCTGCTTTTGCATCCTTAGAACGAGGCAGAGCAAGGAATCACAGCTGCCCTGGCTGCTCAGGTCCTGCCCAGGCAAAAAGCTGGCACAGAGGTGCCCAAAACTCTCCAGGGACTTGACCCCACAGAGCCACCAAGCTCCTTCCCAAAGGAGGAGGAAGAGGAGCCCTGGAGGTTCCCTGGAAGCCCCCAGCCCTGGGGTGGCTGTGGTCAGAGGGGACAGCCTGGAGGGACAGCAGAGCTGGGCTGGGCATGGGCTGGGCAGTGGCTGGGCATGAGCTGGGCTTTGGCTGGGATTTGGCTGGACGGTGGCTGGGCAGTGGCTGGGCATGAGCTGGGCTTTGGCTGGGATTTGGCTGGACGGTGGCTGGGCAGTGGCTGGGCATGAGCTGGGCTTTGGCTGGGATTTGGCTGGACGGTGGCTGGGCAGTGGCTGGGCAGTGGCTGGGCATGGGCTGGGCAGTGCTGGGCTTTGGCTGGGCATGAGCTGGGCATTGACTGGGCATGGGCTGGGCATTGGCGGGGCTTTGTCTGGGCATTGTCTGGACAGTGTCTGGACAGTATCTGGGCAGTGTCTGGTCAGTGTCTGGGCATGGGCTGGGCAGTGTCTGGGCAGTGCTGGGCTTTGGCTGGGCATTGTCTGGACAGTATCTGGGCAGTATCTGGGCAGTGTCTGGACAGTGTCTGGGCATTGGCTGGGCAGTGTCTGGGCTCTGGCTGGACAATGGCTGGGCAGCATCTGGGCAGTCTGGGCTCTGGCTGGGCTCTGGCTCCCAGCCCCATGTGGGCAGAGCTCACCTGGCAGCGCTGCTGGATGTTGTTCCTTTAAGGTACAACAGGTGGAAAGGCAGGGCTGAAGGTGCAGGGAGTATTTAAAGCAGGCTGGCACTGCCGCAGCCCCACGGGGACACAGGACACTGGACATTCACAGAGCTCCCAGGGTCAGCCTGAGAGGGGAAGACAGAAGTGCCAGGAGGAGCCTGGAGTGTAAGTAATGCTGCTTTGGCACCTGGGAATGCCAATTTGTAGGGCCGTGCTGGGATGGGGAAGGAGAAGAACACGAGTCTTGAGCCTCTTTTGAGGAGCCTTCCTCACACGGGAGGGAAGCAGCGATTTGGAGCCATTTCATGTTCAGAGCTCACTGGTGGGAAGCTGATTTCTTCTGAAAGAACCATACGAACAGGCTCGTGGCAGTTATGGTTTCTTCTCTGCAGCAGATTTTTAATATTTAATTTCTGGGGAAAAAATTAATTATCATTACAATATTTGCATTAAGTTTTAACATAGGAAAGAAAAGTCAGTAATTATTACTGTAATAATCTAAATTTTGCAACTCAGCCTGAGGTCATTACTGGCTTTTGAACCCCAACAGACATATTTTGAAATTTTAGAAGATAGTTGGTGCAGCTGTGTCCTAAAGGAGCTGCTTTGGAAGCTCCCTGAGAAGTTTGTACAGTTACAGGAGGATAAGTAGAACCTGAAGCTTAAATGAATGGACTGGATGTGGTGTCCTAAAAGTGAAATCAGAGGAGCCTGGCAGAGCCCTGTCCCACTCAGACCCGTGAAGGTGTGGGTCCTACACACCTGAAACCCCACTCTGCAAAGGGAACATTCCTATAGATGCAATAAATTTCTGAAGTACAAATAAACATCACCTAATTGCAATTGTTAATGAATCCACAGTGGCACCATCCATCCCTCCAGACTGAGGTGAACCTGTGCTCTTGGGCCATGGGTTGTTGCTGCTCCTAGCAGGCAGAGGAGAATTAAACTAAAATAATTTAATAGTGCTGAAGTTGGTTTCACTTTCTGGCCCAAGACACAAATGAACCATGAAGGTCTGATGTGAAAAACAACAAGTGGGTGCATGGAGGATCTGAAAGGAACATAAAATCAGGTCTCAGGTTAGTGTAGAGTGGATCCAACAGCTGAAAGGAACATAAAATTGAGCCAGGAGCACAACCTCAAATGGGATTGAAGTCACAGCCATGAGAGCTCCCTGCTTATTCTATTCTATTCTATTCTATTCTATTCTATTCTATTCTATTCTAATTTCTTTTCTGAAATAAGTTGCTCATATGTTTAACTGACACAAAAAATCTTAGTTCAGAGGGTCCCAAGCACTGCAGGAATTCCTAAAAACTGCTGATTTCTTGGTAAATCCTGATAATCTTCAGCAAGCTCTACCCAACTGTTTCTGCTCAATGCAACACCAAACGAGCCCCTCTTACTTATTCTCTCAATATTGTAACGGAGGTATCTGCATGGAACTGGAAAAATTTATTTATTATATCTGCACATGTTTGGTCAGCTCGATCTTTTATCTGGAAGCTGATTGCTCATTCTTAACCCCATGGAAATGGGGTAGATTGGTGGCTTTTCCCCATTCCACTGCAGCAAATAAAACCCAAGGCAAGGGAAGATCAGCAGTGACCTTGAAGGGCAGTTGAAGATGTGGATAATCCAAGATGAAATTTGTTGCTGTGCACTTTTTCTGGGCACAGAAGCCTCCAGCACCTCCTCACAGCACAACTCTCTCTACAGCAATTTGTACCTGGCACAGTTTCCCCATGGGTCAAGAGGATTTGTGAGGCAAAATATTACATAAATATAAAATATATAGAACATATGCAATATATTATATCTGTGTTATTATTTCTCAACTATTTGAATAGCAGCAAACATTCCACAAAAAGCCAGAAGGGATCCCAGGCTGGAGTGACAAATGTCACAATTAAACCTTCGTGTTTTGTCAATGCCATGGCATGGCCTTGACACTGGTCATTGTCAGGGGCAATAGTTAATATCTAATGGGCTGGACTGGGCTGATCCCTGGCAATCCCTGCAGCAGGAATTCAGCAGAATTTGGGAGTTGGACTCTGCTGTTCCATACCCAGACAGAGCAGCTGCAGGCTCAGGTTTGCACAACTTGGGGATCAGGTCCTGGTCTCTTCCACATCATCATAATCTGAAGATAGTTCTCCCCAGGACGGACAGAATCCCAAAAGCACAACAGAAATATGGGGGAAATCTTGTTATGGAGGAGATTTGGAAGAGCCAGCCTGGCCAGAGAACACTGCTGCTGGAAACCTGGAAAATACCAAAATTTAGGCATAAAACAGCACTGGAGAGGAAGGTGATGGTCCCAACCCACATCCAGAGAAGTGTCCTGGAAATGACCATCAGCCAGTTTTAAGGGTAAAGACATTAAAAACACATCTCTAGAGATGAGGGGGGGGTCTGCCCTCCCCAGGGCTTTACACACAAAATGTGTAAAATGTCCTTGTCATGCAGAGGAGCTGCAGCAAGGTTTACAGCCCAGCAGTAAATCAAAACAGATAAATAACAGTGTAATTCCATCTCAGGACTACATGAAGTCAACAACAACAACTGTCCTGAATTGGAAAGCAAGAGGAAAGGTCATTATGTTGTAACTTTCCATTTACATTTTAACAGCATCTGAGAAAACAGGGCTGGGGACAGCTCAGAGCTGTCGGTGTCGGTGGTGCAAGAGCACAGGAACCTCTGGTTTGGGTGGGTTCAGATCTTGGTAACCCTTCCAGACCTGACAGAACAACATGGGCTGTACCCCCAAAACCAGCCGAACTTTTAGAAGAAATCAGAAAAAGACATTATTTCAACTTTGCCCAGCTGGTCAAGGCTGAGCTGGGTCCTGCTTGCACCACAGACTGGTGAGGTGACCATCAGGCAGAGGAGCTGCTGTCAGCCAGGGGCAAACATCAAGGTTCTCTTTGTGCCACCTTGTTTGCTTTGTGCAGAATTTGTTATGTTTGCCTTGCTGGCCACTTCTGGGATGTGTTTGAAAGAGAATTTTTCATGCTCAGTGAGTTAATTATTAGCCATGGACAAGTGGCCATTGAGCAAGGAGAAATCACACTACAAGGAAGAGGCACAACAGAACACCTTTCATCTTAACAGGGAAATAAAAACTTTTTTCTTCTGCTGGGAATTACCCTCAATAAAATTGTGTCACTTGATGCCCTGAAATCAAATTGCTCTGGTTGTTTACAAGGGTTTTCCTTGGCACCTCTCATCAGCTCCTGTGGGTGCCTTCTATGAAGTTGGAACAGGCAGGTGGATCAAGAGGTGTGCTCAGGAAATCCATATAAAATCTGACTTTTGGAGGTAAATCCCTACAGCTCACTCAATTCCTCATCAGCTGAGGAAAGAATTGAAAAGTAGAGGTGAGAATATCATTCTTACTCTCTTTTTTGTGACCTTGGAGAGACCAGGGAAACAAAGAGTCACTAAATAGAGGCTCCAGTCAGGAATCCTGTGACAGAGGGAATATTGGGGTGCTGGGATGAGATCCACAGGCAGCAGCCCAGGCAACAACAAAATTACTATTAACTCCCTTTTTCCCATCCAATTCCTCAACGGGAGCAATTAAAAACCAAATTTCTCTCTACTTCACGTAGCCACAACCCTCAGATCCTCCAAGCACGAAGATTATTAGACGATTAACATTTTGCAAAAGTGATTATTCAATATCTTCCAAATTTTTTTCCAGGGAATGCAAGAAAAATGACTTTGCTGGCGTTCCTCTTCCTGCTCACCTTGGTCCCAGCTGGGTGTGTAAGGAGCAGACACCCCCCTAAGGCAGCCAGTGAGTGTCACCTGCATGGGGAACAGGTTTGGGGTGGCCAAGGACCAGGGGTGGCACTGGGAAGGGAGGACAAGGGTCTGGATGGTGCTTAAAAAGAGAAAAATATAACGTTAAAAAGATAAAAGTAGATATATTTCATGAAGGGCCTTCAGGTACTTTGAGGGCAGATGAAGCCTCCCATGAGGCTACACCCAAAATAGACAATGTTTCTCAAAAACAGTTTTTTTAGTTTCTCGAAACTGAGGCCAGACAAAAAGTTAAAAAGATAAAAGTGGATATATTTCATGAAGGGCCTTAAGGTACATTGAGGGCAGATGAAGCCTCCTATGAGGCTACACCCAAAATGGATGATGGTCATAAGTTTCTTGAAACAGAGGCCAAACAAAAAGTAAAAAATATAAAAGTGGATGTATTTCATGAAGGGCCTTCAGGTGCGTTGAGGGCACACAAAGCCTCCCACAAGGCTACACCCAAAATGGACAATGTTTCTCAAAAAACAGTTTTTAGAGTTTCTCAAAACAGAGGCCAGATAAAAAGGATAAAAGTGGATATATTTCATGAAGGGCCTTCAGGTACATTGAGGGCAATGGTAGCCTCCTATGAGGCTACACCCAAAATGGGCAATGGTAATGAGTTTCTCAGATTGAAATAAGTTTGGTTCGTTTGCACATCAGGGGTTAATTCTCCAATTCCAACTTCAGGTAATGAAGGCAGATACCCCCAGTTTGCTCCCCACAAAATTCACTTTTGTTTATATTTGTGGCCTGAGGCAGAAGGTGTCCTGGAGTTGTAGGCCTAGAAGGATTGTTTAATCTGACCAAAATGTGAAGAGAGCTTCTGACACTCTCAATGCAGCTCAGAGTTCTACACCAGTGCAGTGCAGGACCTGAAAAATACAAAACCTAAAATCTGAAGGCATCATGGGGAGCACCTTTACCTCACAGGTGTCCCTCACTGCCACAGGACCTCATGGGCCTTGGTGGCACACACAGCCCTGGTGGCACACAGGGCTCTGGGGGCTCAGAGGGTGGCACACACGGCCCTGGTGGCACACAAGGCATGGACCTGGTGGCACACAGGGTGGCACACACAGCTCTGGGGCACACAGGGTGGCACGCACAGCCCCGGGGCACACAGGACACTGACCCAGCCTGTTCTCCCGCAGTCTCCAGCCCCGTGTTCGGCCCCAGGGAGGTGCACGGCGTGAAGGGCGGCTCGGTCACCGTGAAATGCTTCTACCCCCCGACACCGATGAACAAGCACGACAGGAAATACTGGTGCAGGCAGAAGGGCTCCAGCTGCCTCACCGTGGTGTCCTCCAACTTCGTGGCTGCTGCCTACCAGGGCAGGGTCACCCTCACTGACCACCCCCAGGAGAACCATTTCCTGGTCAACATCTCAGCGCTGGAGATGAGCGATGCCGGCACCTTCCAGTGTGGCGTGGGCATCAATGGCAGAGGGCTCTCCTTCAGAGTCACCCTCATCGTTGCTGAAGGTAATTACAACTTTGGGGCTACCTAAAATCCCATTTTCTTGGGATTTTACCAATATTAGGACTCCCTCAAATAGCATTTCTCGGTATTTTACCAATACTAGGACTCTCTCAAATACAATTTTCTTGGTAATATTGGTAATTTTACCAATATTGGGACTCCCTAAAACACCATTTTCATTGGTAATTTACCAATTGGTATTTTACCAATATTAGGACTCCCTAAAACACCATTTTCTTTGAGTTTTCCCCCTCTCCCTCTTAAGTAATTATACCCTTGGGACTCCCTCAAATACTATTTTCTTGGTATTTTATCATTTTCTTGGTGTTGGACTCCCTAAAATACCACTTTCTTTGAGTTTTTTTCTTAGTATTTTACCAATATTAGGGCTCCCTCAAATACCATTTTCTTGGTACTTTACCAATATTTTACTCCCTAAAACACCATTTTCTTTGAGTTTTCCCCCTCTCCCTCTTAACGAAGGCTCCACCTCTGGCCTGCCTGGTGTGTGAGAGCTGCAGGAGCTTTCAGGGAGGGTTCATTTCATCCCCTGAGTGTCTCTGTGCACAGCCCCACCTGTTCCTGAGGATGCTGAGCTCTTCTACGTGAAGCTGCGCAGCACCTGGACCGTGACCTGCAGCTTTGGGAAGGAGACAGTCGAGATGAAGAAATACCTGTGCAAGAAGGAGAAGGACGGCTGCAGGAACATCATCAACAGCTATCAGGACACAGATGTCCCAGGGGGACTTCAGCTGGTGTTTGAGGACCCTCCAGGCTCGTTCCGTGTCACCATGACTCAGATGGACTGGGAAGATGCAGGCTTGTACTACTGTGGGGCCGGTGACTATGAGAAGGACGACCCAAAGAAGGAGCTGGATGTGTTTATCTACGAGGGTGAGCTGTTCCCAGAGTGTTTTCCCCTTCCTCTCTTCTGCTTTTCAGAAGCATCAGCAGCAGTGTCACTTGATTTAGCAGGAACTTGAATTTCTCTTTGCTATTACCCTACTCTCTCATCCATATACTTATTTCTATTCATTTAACCACCTATGATGTACTAAACCATCACTAAATGAAGCTTGTAGCCAGACTTCACCTTCCCAGACATGGGTAGCTCTGCTCCCCAACCCAAAACTGCAAGAAACAAATTCCACCCTCCCAGTCTGAGGCAAGCAAGCTGTCTCTTCAAGCCCCCAGCTCCTGAAATCTCAAACTGACAGATGTAGTTGATCCCTCTAGCAAAGGGAACAAAGCTTTGGAATATCTGTCCACAAAGCCAACAACACTGCATGAATTTGGGAAAAAGCAAGGCCTGACTGACCTTTTAGGATGAATTCCCACCAGTGCCAGGACAATCTCCTGATGTTTACACCCCTGAGCTTTCCCATAGCAGCTTTGTTTGATCTGATAATGTTGATTTCCATGGGAGGGTGCTCCATGGACACAAGTGAGACTCTTACAACTGCTCATTTCATTCTTACCAACAGACAAAACATTCCCTCACTTCAAGACCAACATAACTGGAAAAGTTGGAGGTTCAGCAAGCTTCGAGTGCCTCTATGACCCTCTGCTAAATGCCTCCTCGAGGTTCTGGTGCAAGCAGAAAGGCAGGCAATGTGGTACCACAATCATAGACAACACTGGGCGTGTGGAGGACTCCTATGAAGGAAGAGTGACCGTGTTCCAGAACCCCGAAAACAAAACTCTCACCATCATCCTGAACCAGCTGCAGGAGAAGGACAAAGGCACTTACTGGTGCATGTCAAATCAGCTGAGGGAGCAGCAATCATCAACAGAACTGACGGTTGTTCCAGGTGAGGGCTGTGCACTGGCAGTTCTCTGCCTGCTCAGGAGCTACAGAACCACCCTACGTGAGCAATCTGGCTTTTTGGGAAGGGATGTGAGCTCCAAGCCTGAACTCACCCCAGCAGCTTTAAAAATGAGACAGAAAGTTTCAGTTTTGTGGAATGCGTTCGCAGAAAATTCTCATGAAATATTTCTTAAGCCTTACAAGATGTTATAAATTAATTAGCCAATTTGATTAATAAGGAGAAATTATTCCATAATTAAAATACAATTGTTAAAAAGGCCACAAGCAAAGATCAGATCAGCACTGAACCAGGTTGGGTGAGACAGGGAAGGCATTCTATCTCCTCTCCTCTGTACATCACAAAGACACAGCTCTCACAAAGTCTTTTTATACATTTCTAAGCTTCAAGGGTTGCTGGGAAGAGTCTCTTGTTTCCTTAGTGTTGATTTTATCCTTTTAGCATATTCATGTAGTTTTTCCTTTCTTGCTGCCAGCTCTTGCTGAGAGTTTCCCAAACTGTTAGAGGAAAATCTCCTGCAACACAAATTCTAGGAGACGCATATTTATCTTATGGATGATGAATGCATATTGCTGGGGTTTGCTCAGACAAATAATCCTCTGGAATCAACATTTCTGGAGATGAATATTCAGGCTAGGATCTTGGTGCATATCACTGTAATCTCGTGAGAGGAATTTTCCCAGAACCCTCCTTTGGTATTTTCATCAGGTGAGATTACTGGAGGTAATCAGGATTTTCATCAGGTGAGATTACTGTAGCCTGAGCATGAATTTATACACACCATCTATTACAAAGAGAACCATAAACAGCATCTTCATGTTAATTTAGCAACACAAGGAGCGCTTTCTTTCCAAGCAGGAAAGTGCTGCCAACACAATGAAGGCAAGAAGGGTCAGAGGAGGCAGGAGAGAGGCCACTGAGCTGGGAGATGTGGCCACAGCCCTGCACTCTGTCCCAAGGCTGTCTCAAGGGGCAAGGGTCCCAAGGATGTCTCCTCCCAGGGGTTTTATTTATCCCCAGCAGCACCACCACCAGCTGAGAGCCTCTCCCACCCCTGAAACCTCTCCCCCAGCCCTGATGTCCTGTTTGCCTTCACAGGAGAACCTTCACTGACGGGAAAGAAGGTGGTGGAGGCCCAGGCGGGCTCGCGGGTGAATTTAACCTGCTGCTACCCCTGCAAGTATTACTCCTACGAGAAATACTGGTGCAGGTGGAGCAACACGGGCTGTGCCATGCTGCCCGTGCAGCAGCAGCCGGGGCTGCCACAGCCAGGGGATGCCTGTGAACCAAACGCCAGGACGGTGGTGCTGAGCCTGGACCCGGTGGCCGAGGAAGATAAAGGCTGGTACTGGTGCGGGGTGAAGCACAACGGGGTCTTCGGGGAAACCATGGCCGTGGAGCTGCGGGTGAGCGCAGGTGAGCTCCGGGCAGGGCTGGCTGTCCCTGCCGGTCCCTGTGCCGAGGAGGGCTCTCGGCTGGCTGTCCCTGCTGGTCCCTGTGCCGAGGGGTCTCTCAGCTGGCTGTCCCTGCTGGTCCCTGTGCCGAGGAGGGCTCTCGTCTGGCTGTCCCTGCCGGTCCCTGTGCCGAGGGGTCTCTCAGCTGGCTGTCCCTGCTGGTCCCTGTGTGTGCTCTCGGCTGGCTGTCCCTGCTGGTCCCTGTGCCGAGGGGTCTCTCAGCTGGCTGTCCCTGCCGGTCCCTGTGCCGAGGAGGGCTCCTAGCTGGCTGTCCCTGCTCTCCATCACCGCTAGGCTGCAGCAGCTCAAAGCACAAGCGCTGGCACCTCGCAGCCTCCCGGCTTTGCAGTTTGCCTTCAGGGCTCTTGTCTCTCAGTTTTGACTTCCCAATCGTAAAAAACCTCTTTCAGTCTAAAACTCACCTATTTCTATATCAATTTTACTTTTAGCCCCGTGCTGATTAATTGTTCCTATTACAATTAATATTTTATTTTATAATATTTTTAATTTTTAATAAATACTATTGCTATATTATTATATATAATAATATAGTAATATTATTTAGATATAATATAGGAATATAATATAGTAATATTATTAAGATATAATATAGTAATATAATATAGTAGTATTATTAGATACAACAATTATTTATTATATCGTTATATTAATTACATTATAATGATATTATTATAGAATTAATTACAATAAATAATCTATAATCATAATTCCATAATTATATATACATATTATGTTATTATTTAATAATAATAATTATTATTTAATAACATAATATATAATATAAAATTTTATTTATGTTATAATATATTTATTTAGTTTTATAGTAATTACATATATGTATTATTATGTTATTATCTAATAATAATTATTGTCATTTTATAATAATGCAATATATTATATAATACTTTATAACAATCATTTACTTAGTTTATTTAATTTAGGCAACATCTGGCATCTTTGAGGTGAAGAACTGATTAAGTTCAGAGCTCTAGCTCCAGGGAACTTCTTATCTTAATAATCAGGAAACCAGGAAGGAGCAGGAGAGGCTGACACCAACAGCAAGGGGCTTAGTCTCAGCTTTGGAGGAGTATTTTGGAATTGAAATGGTTTTGGGAGAAGGAATATTGTTAGAAGCAGAGAAAGAATAGAGCCCTGGGTATCTGATATTTACCCATCCTGAGTGGGTGATGGCCAAAGTGAAAACAGCCCCTTTGCATTGCTTTTGGTGGGCAAAGAGCCAGGAGTAAAAAGCAAAGCAAGGAGGTAAAATTTGACCTGGAAATATTAGATGCAGAATTTATAAACACAAGACTTTTTCAAAAGTTCATAAACAGGGAGATCCTACTTGAGATTTTCACAGTAAATTTTTTGGTGGTGAGTGAGGGCATTTCAGGCCTCAAACCCCCATTTTGAAGAGCCTCTCAGGGAAAGCCGAAACCCCCAACAGCAACTCCCAGTCCACCAAACACATCCCAGCAGTTTTTGTGTCCAGCTCTCCTGCTGCTGCTCTCTAACCCCTCTCCTTCCCTGGCACACACAGGGAGAGATGCCAATCTCAGCCCAGAGTTCCTGGATGTTGATTCCAGCCATGATTCTGCAGCTGTTCCCCCAGGAGGAGCCCACAGTGACGCTGAGGTGCGGAAAGGAGCTGCCCCAGAAAGGTTGGTTCTCTCCTTCCCCTGCCATTTATCATTTTTGTGGGGTTTAAATAAAACCCCTTGTGTTTGTACACCCTGTGTGTGTTGTGTAGCAACACACACAAAAAATCTTGTCCCCAAAGAACTTTGCTCTAAATGTCAGAGAAGATAAAAAGTGACAGCAAAGGGCAAGATGACTCACAATTAATCTCCAGTTCAAGAAAATAGTATCAGAAGGAAATTATTAGAAATTCCAGGTACAAAGTACTTGTGTTAATATTAGAGAATTTTCCTTCACGTATTTATAGCCCAGCTGCTGATGAGCTGTTTCAGCCTGACCTCAAGCCTATATTTTTATTTGGGTTTTGTTTTATTCTGTGCCCTAGAATCCAGTTCATTGATTGAATTGCACCATGCTTACTCAGAATTACCATCCCACCCAAATTTAGCCTGCTGGATTTTCACATGCATCATTCTCAGTGAGATTTCTCTCTCTCTCTCTGTTCCAGCTCTGATGAAAGTCAAGGCTCCAACACTCTGGCCTTGGTGCTGGGCCCTCTTGCTGGCCTGATCCTGATTGCTGTGACAGCTTTTGCCATTGTCAAGTACAGGCAGCTGAAGAGATCTGGTGAGTCCCTGCCTCTCTGGGCTCTCAAGAAACAGCAGCAGCATTGAGTTAAAGGTGCTGGGCTGAGCTGCTCTCCTGGTACCACACCAGGATGGGCAGGGAGGTCTCTGCTCCTCCTGTGACCCATCCAGAGAGCTCCAACCCCCTGCTCCTCACACTGACCTATCCAGAGAACTCAAACTGACCCCATCCAGAGAGCTCCAAACCCCTGCTCCTCAACTGACCCATCCAGAGAGCTCCAACTGACCCCATCCAGAGAACTCCAAGCCCCTGCTCCTCCTGTGACCCATCCAGAGAGCTCCAACTCCCTGCTCTGACCCATCCAGAGAGCTCCAAGCCCCTGCTCCTCCTGTGACCCATCCAGAGAGCTCCAGCTCCCAGTGTCCAGGCTGAGACAGAGCCCAGCCCTCCCTGTGCTTTGCCCATTGTGCCACAGCATCACCTGGCACAGAGGGTTTGGCTCTTAACGTGCTCCCTCCCACTCTGAGCGAGACCTGAGGGATTTTCCTCCTCTCTCCCACCAGATCTGGTGTCTGTGGGGAGCTACAGGACCAACATCAGCATGTCAGACTTTGAGAGCGTGAGGGACTTCAGTGCCAGCAACAGCGCGAAGGAGACCCACGAGACCTCCATGGGAGGGGATGGTGAGTGACCCCAGCCCAGCCCCAGGGTCAGGGGCAGCCCTTCCTTGCTGAAATACCCCACAAAAGCCACAGAAACACCTGCCAGCCACTCCCCCTCCCCAACACCTTCCTTTCTCTGCCTGCAGAATTCGTCACCACCACCACGGACACTCCGGACAGTGCTGCCAACACAACGAAGGCAAAAAGGGTAAGGGGAGGCAGGAGAGAGGCCACTGAGCTGGGAGATGTGGCCACAGCCCTGCACTCTGTCCCAGGGGGACTGTCACCTCCCAGGGGCTTTGTTTATACCCAGGTGCTCTCCATTTTACCCAGATCCAGCCTCCATGGGGGATGGTGGGGGGGGTCTCATCCCTGTCCTCACTCCCTGTTTTAGCAGAGACATTAACAGCAGCCACTTTGCTTCAAGGACTAAACCAAGGCAGCCCCAGGCAGCGTCAGGAAGGTTGGGTTTGTTACCAGAAATACAAATCACTGGGATGAGCAGATGGCTAGAAACCATCACATCCCACTTCTCAGTGGCACAGGGAGCAGGGAGGGCTCTGCCATTACAAGGGCTGAGATTTGCTGTGATCTCTGCCTTTCCCCAATTTTCTGTGCCTTCCCTTGGGCAAGATCATGGTGCAGTGGCCCCATTTGGCAGTGGCTGCAGGTGCCACATTCAAGCCTGTGCTTTTCAAAGTCTCTATCAACACCCAGGTGTGGGTGGTGTAAGTGCCAGGAGCTGAACTGGAGCAATCAAGGGAACTGTCAGGACACCAAAGCCCAGGAGCTTTGGGACAAGGGGGCTGGATGCCAACAGCCAAGGACAGGCTTGCCAAGGAATCCCAAACCTAAAAGCTTTTGGGGTTGATGCTCACATCAGCACCAGTGTGAGCTGCTGGATTGTCCCACTCCTGCAGTGTCCCCATGTTATCCTGAGATATCCACAAAGTGCTGCCCATCCCCATGCCCTGATTTTGTTCCTCCTGTCCTTCCCAGAGCTCCAAGGAGGAAGCTGACCTCGCCTACTCCTCCTTCCTGGTCACCTCCAGCAACATCGCCCAGGCCAGCTCCGGGGGTGATAGCGCTGTCCTGGACCTGTCCCCACCCCAGGACCAGGCCTGAGGGGAGGTGGCAGCGCCTGGGACTGGCTCTGCCTTGAGGATCACAACATCAGCAAACAACACTGTTCATTTCTCCCACAATTTGCTATAGCTTGACTTGTTTTTTGCTTAAATTCAGCTTTGAGTGGTGATTTAGGAGGAGTGGTTTGATGGCAAGGGGGGCTGGAAGGGCAGGTCTGAGTGAGGAGGTTGGGCTGGGAAACAGCAGGAACTCATCCCACCAGCAGCCCCAGTCCCTACACTGGGCTCTCAGAGGCCAGCAGGAGCATTGTGAAAAAAAAAAATCCCATTTTCTTTTAAAGGCAGCTGGGAAACCTTTTAGAACAGCATCTGAAACCTTTTAGAACAGCATCTGATGCTTTTGATTCCTCTGAGCTTTCCCGACCTGAGGGCAGCACCTGCAGGGCAGACACGCCTGGAGTGTTTGTGTGTGAGCAATAAAGAATCCAGTGGCTTTCAGCAGACTGGGGAACTCAGCGTCTGTGGGATATTACAGGAGAGCCCACCCAGAGAGGCACAGAAAGGGTGGGAAAAGCTGAATATTCCACAGATAAAGCAGTGCAGGAAGAGGTGACAATGGCAGGCTGGGTTATCTGGCCCACACTGAACTTCACTGAGGATAAACACAAATTACTCCTGAATTGTCGATTCCAGAATTTCACTGAGGATGAAACATATGATTCCTGAATCATGGATTTTCAGTGCTGGGATGAGCAGGGCAGCATCTCCCTCCATCCACATTGCACCTTCCTGCCTGCCCTCAAAGGGAAGTCAGGCCTCACCTGCCACATCCCCAGGGGTGCAACCCCTCAGCAGCACCATGGGAAGGGTTTGGGTCTTGGGAAAGGTGTGGAGGGGTCGGGACAGGTCCATGAGGGACAGGGACAGGTCCTGAAAGGGGCAGGGACAAGTCCGTGAGGGGGCCGGGACAGGTCTATGAGGGGGCCAGGACAGGTCCGTGAGGGAACCGGGACAAGTCCAAGAGGGGGCCAGGACAGGTCCGTGAAGGGGCCAGGATAGGCCTGAAAAAGGGAACCAGGACAGGTCCATGAGGGGGACCGGGACAGGTCCGTGAAAAGGCCGGAATAGGCCTGAGAAAGGGAACCGGGACAGGTCCATGAGGGGGACCCGGACAGGTCCGTGAAAGGGGTCGGGACAGGTCCGTGAGGGACTGGGACAGGTCTGTGAGGAACCAGGACAGGTCCACGAGGGACAGGGACAGGTCTGTGAGGCATTTGGACAGGTCTGAGAAAGGGACTGGGACAGGTCCATGCAAGGGACTGGGACAGGTCCGTGCTGGGACTGGGATAAGTCCATGAAATGGCCATGACAGGTCCATGAAAGGGGCCAGGATAGGTCCATACTGGGACCAGGACAGGTCCATGAGGGACTGGGACAGGTCTGTGAGGGACCAGGACATGTCTCTGAGGGGCTGGGAAAGATCCATGAAAGGGGCTGGGACAGGTCCGTGAGGGGGCTGAGACAGATTCATGAAAGGGAACCAGGACAGGTCTGTGCTGGGACCGGGAATGGTCCGGGAAGGGCTGGGACACGTCCGTGAAAGGGCCCGGGAAAGATTCATGAAAGGGAACTGGGACAGGTCCATGCTGGGACTGGGACAGGTCCGTGAGGGGGCCGGGACAGGTCCATGCTGGGACTGGGACAGGTTCCTGAAAGGGGTCGGGACATGTCTGACCGGGACAGGCCCGCGCCTGCCCAGAGCCGGGAAGGAGGGAATTCCTGACTCAGGTGCAGCAGGAAAGGCGTGAGCCTGGAAAGCATCCCCGGCGGGCAGCAGGGCAGGAGAACGCTCGGGTTTGGAAATTTCTGAGAGCAGAAAACCCCTTTCGCTCTCCCTTTGTAAATGCTCTTCCTCCTCAGCCTGCCCCACGGCATCTTTGGCCAGCTCCGCTCCTCCCTTGCTGCCCTGGGAGCAGCTGGGATGAGCTGAGCTCTGGCAGAGGAGCAGGGCTGGGCTGAGCATCCTGCAGCCCTCAGCTGCCTGCTGCACCCCCTGCCCCTTCCCACTGCTGGCACTCAATTAATTGTTCTTATTACAATATGCAGCATCATTTAGTTTAGGCAACATCTGGCACCTTTGAGGTGAAGAACTGATCAAGTTCAGCGATCTTGCTCCATACTTCATATCTTTATAAACTTCTTATCTGAATAAACATGAACCCAGGAAGGAGCAGGAGAGGCTGACAACAACAGCAAGGGGCTTAGTCTCAGCTTTGGAGGAGTATTTTGGAATTGAAGTGGTTTTGAGGGGAAGGATATTGTTGGAAGCAAAGAATAGAGCCCTGGGGATCTGATATTTACCCATCTCAAGTGGGTGATGGCCCTGGGCTGCTGCCATGCCCTGCAATGGGGACAGAAATGTAAAATCCCTGGTTTAGGTGAAAGCACTGAGCCAGGCATGGGCTGAGGGGTTCAGCACACAGGGTGAGATTGATGGATGAGCTGTAATGATTGTGAAGCAGAAGGTGTGGAGTAAAACCCTCAAGCTGTGACCCAGACCCCACAAGAATCCCTGAGGAACTCACCAAGCAGCCCCTGCTCCTTTGGCAGGTGCCAGCTGATTTCCTGGGGTCAGGGACGAGCTGTGGCACCTCATCCCAGCATCCCAGCTGCATCCCAGCATCATTCCCAGGGGTTGTTCTTCAACAGAGAGCCATGGAATGTCCCAGACTCCTAAAAGAGTGATGGAGCTGAACAATCAGCTCTCCTGAGCACTGCCAGGGCATAGCAAGATGTGTTCACCGTTCATGCCCTGACACCTGGACGAATGAAACCCATGGGAACATGAATTAACAAAATCAAAGCCCTGTGAAGCTTTCCTTTGGCATCAGCAAATATCTGAGGGAGGACAGTGAGCACTCAGAGATCTTTCCTTTGAAAGGGAATAACCAAACACCACCCAGCCTGACACTCACAGGGAAATGCTGGTGCTGTCCCCCAGCTGGGATTTAGGCACACACTGGGTGCCAGCAACACCCAAAATGAGAGAGAACAGACCAGAGCTGTAAATAATGCCCAGTTTTGGGGACAAGCCAAGGGGGGTTTAGCGGCACTGAGGTCTGAGTTTGGTGTTTCTGGTGTGCCCGGAAGGATGCATCAGCCCTGGCATGCTGGAGTGACAGCATCAGCTATAAGAGGACACCACAGAGAATTCAGAAAAGTTTCACCAGCAAGAATCATATAATTCCTCAGAATTTTGACAAACAGACTCAGCACAGTTTCAAGTTGGGTTTATTTATGGTCATCACCACCAATTTCCACAAAACTCACTACTGAGTGTCAGTAAATTGCTCAATACACTCAAAAACCTTTTTCTATTCAGCAACCACACATCTTGCACAGAAACTTTTTTACTGATAAGGCAGAAAATATCATCTCAAAAGGAAACACAGATTTCTAGGGCCTGACATACCTGCTAGGACCTATTCTTGGAAGCATTTCCCACACTGCACTTCTCATTTCAGCCAGATCCATCAGTGGAGGCAGCCCTGAGATCGAGCCCACGTTTATGCAACATCAGCTGTACCAGCCAGCCCTCAGCACTCATGCCCCACATTCCCTAGGCAAAATATCTGTAATTTAAACAATATTTTTATTACATGATCACAACTTATATCTGCCTTGTGGGTTTTCCGTGGGAGCATCCTTTGGTAGCAGCGAGGGCGATGCTGATTTAATCAAACTCGTTATTTCTGTCTTAATGAAGACTCTGCTGATGTCCCTGGCTGGCAAAGCTCCCCATGTCTGCCTGAATCAGCTTCACTGATACAGTGATTTATTGTCCCTCTCATCTCTGCAAAGCCCCTGCAGCTCCTCAGCACCAGTCCGTGGGTAATTAACACTGCCCGCTAACGAGATTTCTCCATCCAGTCCAGGAGGATGTCCAGCTCCCCCAGGGATTTCATGGCTGCAGATGTGACATTCAGCTGAAATGATATACAAAAGAATGAGCTGTAAGCAGGCACCATCAGTACAATCCAACATAAAGAGAATTTAAATATCTGTGTTAATATAATATATAATATATAATATATAATATATAATATATTATATATTATATTATATTATATTATATTATATTATATTATATTATATTATATTATATTATATATAACATATTATATGTTATATGTTATATGTTTTATGTTATATATGTTATATATTATATGTAATAGTAATAATATGTGTGTGACTTGGCTCAGTCACCAACTCACCCCTTCATAGTTTGCAAGTATTTGCTTCAGTTTCTCTGTGGATTCCTCCCCACACATGCAATTATTCTGCTCATGCTGGAAAAACAAGATTAATTTATTAGTCTTATTTTTTAAAATAAGATTTCAGTTTCTGATTTTGCTGAGCATCATGGACTGAGACATTTTGGAACTGTGGGAAAGGCTGCAGGTCTCTAAATCAGGATTTAACTCACTTGACAGACACAAGGACAGGATAAATTTTGGCCTTTAGGACCAGTGGGGAGGGGGTTGATGGTGAGTGAGCAAATATAAAAATCTCACAGTGGTCCGAACACTATTACACCACTCTGCTTTGTATTCTCATTTAAAAACATTTATATAAACAGAGACTTTGCAGCTTTATAAATCTCCCAGGTTGGTTTATAGATGAAATATTAAGGGATGCACACTGGGGCAGAAGGCAGGACTTACACACTGCCCAAGCTTCCTCCTCGTGCTGAGGAAGGAGTTGGCAATGCTGCTGATTTTCCTGTTCACAAACGAATCCTCAGTCCTGCAGTGCTTGAAAACCTTGTCCACGTAGAAGGTGAAGAGCTGATAAGTGATGCAGCACCTGTCTGAAGACTTAGAAAATTAATTTAATGACTAAAAGTTCTTCCAAAGGGGTGTGACCTGCAGCTGCTCTCTAGGATAAAGCATCTCAGACAGGAAGCTCGTGGTAGCTGAGCACAGCAGGACAGTTTGATTCAGAGAAAGCTTCTTCAGTGGTACTTGATTGAAGCTGATA